CAGAGGTGGTAGTCGGTCAGAGGTGGTAGTCGGTCAGAGGTGGTAGTCGGTCAGAGGTGGTAGTCGGTCAGAGGTGGTAGTCGGTCAGAGGTGGTAGTCGGTCAGAGGTGGTAGTCGGTCAGAGGTGGTAGTCGGTCAGAGGTGGTAGTCGGTCAGAGGTGGTAGTCGGTCAGAGGTGGTAGTCGGTCAGAGGTGGTAGTCGGTCAGAGGTGGTAGTCGGTCAGAGGTGGTAGTCGGTCAGAGGTGGTAGTCGGTCAGAGGTGGTAGTCGGTCAGAGGTGGTAGTCGGTCAGAGGTGGTAGTCGGTCAGAGGTGGTAGTCGGTCAGAGGTGGTAGTCGGTCAGAGGTGGTAGTCGGTCAGAGGTGGTAGTCGGTCAGAGGTGGTAGTCGGTCAGAGGTGGTAGTCGGTCAGAGGTGGTAGTCGGTCAGAGGTGGTAGTCGGTCAGAGGCCACAGTCGGTCATTTTATTCCTACATAATAAGGACAAAAGGACAGTGGTTGTAGTTGTAGTATTATATTGTATTGTTGTAGTGTTGTTCTACTATAGTATTGATGAAGTATTGCGTATAATCAGTTCATCAAGTATAACAAGTAATTACTGTAGTAAGTAGTACTAATAAACGTACTTTTCCAATATAAATATATAACAATAGAGACTAACCCAACACTGGATGGTTGTTGTGTTATACCACAGTAACACCATACCACAGTACCACCGTACCACAGTACCACCATATCACAGTACCATCATACCACAGTACCACCATACCACAGTACCACAGTACCATCATACCACAGTACCATCATACCACAGTACCATCATACCACAGTACCATCATACCACAGTACCATCATACCACAGTACCATCGTACCACAGTACCATCGATCACTTACTGAAACAGTCCTCAGTCTAAATATGTGACACTTTCTCTCATCTCTACCTGGTATCACACATACACACACATACACACACACACACACACACACACACACACAAAGATATGTGTGTGGTTGCTATGGTAAGAGTAAATGTTCAAAGTGTTTTCTTTCCTCTGAACTTTGACCTTCTGCCCTCCCCATTGGCTGACACTCAGCTGACACAGAGACACCAGACGATTGGAGCAGAACCTGCTTCAACTGGGCTTTGACTGCTGGTACTGTTGCTGGTACTGTTACTGTTGCTGGTGTCGTTTCTCGAATAGAAACAGTGCCCCCGGTGGCCAACTGCCCTCTTTAAGACTAACTAGTCGTCTTTTGAATCCTCAGCTCTCCTGTGATTGGTCTGTTTTTTCATCGGAAAAAGAAAGTCAACGTTTCTGAAGAACCACAGACGCTCAGGAGAACCACGGTTCTCCTTTAGCTGTCCTCCCAAAAATATGATTGAGACTTGACCTCTCCTTTGATGTCATGACTTCAGGTACTGGTACTGATTGTCTGAATAAGGGTTCAGCTGGTCTGTAATAAACCACAGACACAAATCAACCAGATTTCCCAGCATCGCCTGCTGATAAAAACCAACAGCGTTGATTGGCTGTTCCAGATGATGACAGGCCGTGGCCTTCAGTCAGCACCGCAGAGATCACCCAGACTGGGGGGGGGGGGGGGTTTTGGGGGGGGGGGGGGGGGGGGAAACGCCTGTGTTCCATCTGCCCCCACCTGTCTGTACAGTCGGCCTGTTAGCTGTGCTAGCTAATGTCAGAACATCAAAGCCATTAAAGCCACAGCGTTGCTCTGTGTGTTTGCAGCGGTGGAGCCTCGGGCCAATCAGCTGCACCGCTGTGTGGACGTCAGCGCCCTGATCCACTCTCTCCATGTGGACGTTGTCCACCGTGGGGCGCTGCTGGTTTTTAACCTCAGCTGCAGCTTCAGTGTTTGTGTTACTGCA